GGTACGGATGAGGTTGGGGAGTTTCTTTCAGTTCGATTTTTTTCTTTTGTTTTTGTTTTTTCTTTTGGAGGGGTCGAGGGGTTGTGCCGCGAGAGTATATATAATAATATCTTGTATAAAACAAATAATAAACCTAGGTAACATAATGCTCTCTGCATTCGTCATTGGTTAGTCATAGACCGTAGCGAGTTATTGTTGGTATGTCGCATTGCAGCGGAATCAGTCGGTCGTCAGTTTTTGGGGCGTATGGAGTTATAGATGCCATCTTAAAATTTGTTTATTTATCTTTTTTGTGAAAACAATACCCGCCTTTTTATCTTGAATGGAAGTTGAGATATTTGTGATTGAAGAAGGTTGATTTCACAACTATGTCACACAGCTTATGAATGTGTATTTTTGTTCTGTTCGCCCGCAGGTGTGTATTTCTCCGCACACTGGTGTCCGCCTTGTCGAAGCTTCACTCCCAAGCTGGTAGACACTTACGTCAAGGTCTGTATTTAAAAAAAAATAATTATCCCTTTGCCCATTTTTATGATATTGACACCATCTGATTAGTAGAAAAATGTGCGTATGATAGTTCCCAAAAATGTATTACGTACATAATTGTTATAACATATAACTGCTACATATAGATGTTCATGTTTATGAAAGATCTGAGAGCAATGAGGATTTTAGAAATGACGGTGGTGGTGGTGTTAAATGATGATCGATGTTGGATGGTGTTTATATATATAATTATTAAGAAGACATGCTTCTGATAGGTTGTTTTTGTTGGTTTTTTTTTGGGGGGGGGAGGGTTAAAAAATAATGTTAGGGTTAGTCATATATCTTCCTCTGCTCTGATGAGTGACGAGGGACGTGGGCACCTGCTATCCCGTTCCCTGCTGGAACCATCTTTAATGTTACCGTAGTTCCGTAAAAGGTGGGCACAGTCTCTGCTAAGATGACCTTGTTAGTGTTGTCAAGGTATGTAAAAACTTTTTATTTAACCTAAGACATTTCTTTTTATTAGCTCATCACCATAAACTGAGAGCTGGGTTGTACAGTTTGAACAGATTTGATATTTTCTTATGATGGCGCATTAATTTTCAAGCATTTACTGACACAGAATACCCAACTTGTACATAATTCTTATCTCAACAGGAAGTCTGTGCAATGCCCGTAAAAGAGCTGTAGCAGGGTCTCTTTTCCATAAACCAAATGCACAGTATTGCTTTGGACAGATTGAAGTCTTTTCACTTTGTCCTGCAACATTTCAGATAACAACGAGTTACAATAGTAAAGTCTTTTTAAAACTTAGTTGTATACCAATGAGGCAGGATACGACTTATAGTGCGGTCAAAAATTCATGGCGCAACTTATCCTTTAATATCTCTTTGACAGGTGAATCAATTTCACACATACTTTGCACACACAACAGTTTGTATCAGTTTCTCTCAACGTAACCAAATTTTCCAGCACAAATGAGGTTAGATATTTTTAAAAATAGTTTCTTTATATACTATATTTTTAAAATACTACAAATCACCGTCTTGCAGAAAATGGGATTGCTCACAGCACTTTTCTCTTCTCACATATTATATTTTGCATACGCATATGGCCTA